GTCAGGAAGATCTGGTTGAAGAATTCTAAGCACACTGCTGGGAAGGGAAAAAAAAAAAAACGCAAGTCCTAAACACAGAACCCCAAGGCCATTTTGTCCTTGAAGAAATAATGTCAGATTCTTGTTTAAGATTCAGGGAAGGAAGAGTGTGTACATGTTGAAATGGAAAGAGGGATGTTTAGAGAAGAGATTTTCTTCTTATTTTCTTGAGAGTTAAAATTTTTTCCAGCTTTATTGAGATATTACTAACATTTAACATATGTAATTTTAAGGTCTACAACATGATTTGATGCATGCATATATTTTGTGCAATTATTATTACAGTAAGGTTAATCAATACCTCCATCCCCTCACATAATTACCTTTGTGTGTTTGTGTGTGGTGATAATTTTTAAGATCTACATTCTTAATAGCTTTCAAGTATATAATAGATATTGTTAATTAGAATCCCCATGCTGTACATTAGATCCCCAGAACTTATTCGTCCTGCAGTTAGAAGTTTGTACACTCTGACCACCTTCACGCATTTTCCCCAGCCCCTGGCCCTGGCAACCACCATTCTCTCTCTCTTTCTTTGAGTTTGGCTTTTTTAGGCCCCCACATGAGTGAGAACCTACAGTCTTTGTCTTTCTCTGTCTGACTTATCTCATTTGGTATACTGCCCTCCAGGCCCATCCATACTGTCGCAAAAGGCAGAATTTCCTTCTTTTTTATGGTCGAATAACAGTGTACATATGTACCACATTTCCTCTATCCATTCGTCTGTTCAAAGACACGAGGTTGTTTCCATGACTCGGCTATGGTAAATAATGCAGTGAACACGGGAACACAGATATCTCTTCAAGGTAGTGATTTCATTTCTTTTGGATCAATACCCAGAAGTGGTATGGCTGGATCACATGGTAGTTCTATTTTTAATTTTTTGAGGAACCTCCAGACTGTTTTCCGTTGTAGCTGCTCCAATTTACATTCCCACCAACAGCACACAATGGTCCCCCTTTTTCACAGCCTTGCCAACACTTTGATCTCTTATCTTTTTTTTTTTTTATTTTAAGTAGTCTCCATGCCCAGCATTGAGCCCAAGATGGGACCAAACTCCCAACCCTCTATCTCTTATCTTTTTGACAATAGCCATTCTAACAGATGAGAGATGGTATCTCATTGTGGTTTTGATTTGCATTTCCCTGATGATGAGTGCTGTTGAGCACCTTTTCATGAACCTATTGGCCACTTGTATGTCTTCAAAATATTATTCAAGTTCTTTGTCCATTTTTAAATCGAATTCTTTGTAAAATCTTTTACTCTTTGAAACAGTGCACTTGAAGTCTGTTTCTTGGGTTTCTCTATGATTGCTATAATAATAAAATATATATTTCACAAAAAGAGCTCAGAACCAAAATCTACCTATACACTATTTACAAGATGCACACTTAAAGTGATGCAGAACAGTAATAAAATGGAAAAATAAAGAGAGATATGGATCACAGGTGAAGTCAGATCTAACATAAAAATATTAATTGAGGCGAAGATGCTGGGTTTTTTTATTAAGAAGGAGAAGCCATCATGAAAATATAGCATTCTGGAACATTTGTAGGAATGAATAATGTCACATCAATATATGTGAGGAAACCTGTTTAAATTCTATAGAGAAACTGAGGGGAACACAGGAGCATGGGAGCTGCTTTAACTCATTTTTCTTGAGATCTCACAGCTGAAGTAGTCAAAAACAGTTTATTGAATAGACATAGAGAGAAATGTGTATATTACAGCATAAACACGACTTCAGATGCACAGGAACATTTTACCAAAAATGATCATGCCCTAAGCCATAATGAAAACCCCAATACCAAAAAGATAAAATTCTAGGAATCAGGTTTTCTGACCATAATAACAAAAGGATATGTTAAATAAAGACTCTTCTCCAAATAACTTTAGGTTAAAAAAATAAAATCTCCAGTTATAGAATATTTATAAAAATATTTATATGATGCAGTTAAAATGCTCCTCATGGGGAAAAAAATCATAGTTACAGAGCAAGGGTTCTCAACTTCAGCACAATTGACATTTTGGGATACATAATACTTTGGTGTGTGTGTGTGTGTGTGTGTGTGTGTGTGTGTGTGTGTGTGTGTGTGTAGGGGGCATTCTACAGCCTGCAGGACATTCAGCAGCATCCCTGATGTCTATCCACTAGAGGCTCATAACACCACCTCCACACCACACCAGTTGTGAAAGCCAGAAACGTCTCTAGACATGACCAGGTTCCTCGGCAAATGGTCCCTGTTTGAACCTCTCCCCTAGATACTAATATTATTAGAAAAGAAAATGTGAAAGTATAAATAAATTATTTAATTTGAAAGCTACACAAAAAGCCACTGATGATACCTGAGGTCAACATTCATAGAAAAGCAAAATTTAATTCCTAGAAAACTTGTCAAAATGTTTTTTTTTAAGTATAAGAACTGGTTCTTTGGGTAGATAAAACATATAAACCTTTGAGAAGGAAAGTTTTAAAAAGCAACAGGCATTCACAATATTGCAATTGGGAATTTAACTACAAAAAGCATAGAGCAGGTTAAAAATATGATAATATTATCCTAGGTATATGCTATTAGTGCTAAAATCTGGATGAAGTAGACAGTTTTAAAAGTACGTATTTATGGGGCGCTTGGGTGGCTCAGTTGGTTAAGCGACTGCCTTCGGCTCAGGTCATGATCCTGGAGTCCCGGGATCGAGTCCCGCATCGGGCTCCCTGCTCGGCA